TAAATGCATGGATTTTTAGAGAGAGTGACATCATGACAATGATGAATATTGCAACCAGTACTACTGTCGAAAAGAGGGTTGCAGATTTTGAGCTCTTCTGATTCTATTTTGTATCAGTTCGTAATGTATACACACAGTGGTTGGTGAACGTGTTCCCACACACAAATTGGTAAACTGTGACGGTCAATGCTTGTGGATAGAATCCCGATTAGTCCATTCTCAAATCACTTACTAATGGGTGGTGAATACCTGATGGGATTAATGTTGAGTACTTTCATATGCTTGATCATGCAGCTGAAAACAAACTGATCACGAAGTTGATCGACTAATCCTTATGGAGTAAAGAATAACTTGTGCCTAGTCCTCACTGATTAGGAAGTCACTGAATTCGATAGGTCAAGCTGGCGACCTGGAGGACGACGTTGGCGACTCACCGTCACAGTTCACTTTCAGGTGATATTCGATAGTTGCAGACAGTCCGTACTAACGTGTCAACATAAGTTTGGTACTTAGTGTCATTTATAAGCCATTTATATTTGCGATTTTGAAGTTAGTGAAAGCACATTGGAGAATCTTTGCCACAGTGTCAGATACCGTACTGATCGTAACTCACTTGATCAGTAAACGTTTAGGCAACGTAGTGATATTATGCCTCTTGATGAAACGACGTGTCATACTCACCTCAATGTATTCACATGTAAATCCAAGCGATGAATGCATCAACAATCAAAGCCACGATCTTCGACCTATAAGGCAAGCATGATACTGCTCAACCACTGAGTCGAATTCAATGTCCTACGAATTATATACATATGTATAAATATGCTGTCAACATTATCCAGTAGTATAAGTTTGTGGCTATCCTTACAACAGAACTGATAGACCCTAACAGTGGGAGAGAGACAGTCTAGAACATGGGCTCTGCACAGGTCTAGAAGGATGTGGTTACTACTATGACTACTACTGCTGACGAAATCTGAGTTGCATAATCAAATTCACATTACACTCAGCATAATCAATCGCATATAAATTGTGTAGCTTCCAAGTGCTGGTTAATTAAAAGGCATTTGATTGACTGTCAACACTTGTCGATATCAATTAGAGAACCATTGGAAACCATAGAATGCTCTTCAGATATTACGTTCTAGTTTCGCACTCTACTTCAATATCTATCCATTCCCTCAGTGGGGGAAACGGGTATGAAACCTACGAACTACAGATTACAAGGAATGCCCACTGACCATGTTTTGACTTGGATGGAAAATCCAACGGTTGACGCGTGAATTCTGACTTCGGACAATACTCGGCACGTAGCTCCACTGACATTCACTGTTACTGGAGACCTTTAGTCCCCTAACACACACACACAGAGTTAATATAGAAAACGGTTTCTGATTAAAACACCATACATTCCAACCTACTGTTTGTCAGTGGTGATTTTCAGAGGGATTTGACTGACTTCAAGATAGATGATGAACTGACTGACGACACAGTTACACGACCAACCGTTGTAAGTCAACAGGGAGTACTTGACAACAACTATTTCGTCTTCCGTGCCTTGAGACTAACTATTCACTAGTAAGCATCCATGGATGTAGTATTTAATAACTGTTACACTTTCTTCCATTCTAAACGCTGTTTATTATATTTCCAGATTAGTTCTAGTAATCCATGTTAAGGTTTGTCTCTCATCAATTATCAATGATTCTGGTAAACTATATCTTCTGTCTACATTATTGTTTACAAGTGTAGATTAATTAATCCACAGGGGGAAATTCTGATCATAAATAATCAGTTCAGTTGAATTATTTATACAGAAATATTTTTTGTTTACTAATATATATCCAGTTAGACATTCTGACAATGTTGACAGTCTCCATAGTGTTATTGCAATTATTTCTGCTATTACCATTCATTCCTTGAGTTGTGAGTAGAAGATAAATCCTCATGATTGTCTGTCACCGCCTTCAACTAACTTGACAACTGGCTAACCACCCACTCACGGCCAAGTTCATGTTTCAATTTCTAGTTCACATAGCCTTCTTATGTGTCACGTTAGGACTTACACCTAACTTTTCACCCGCTTCCCATTTGGGTTCTGATCGACTATCTGACTGACAGGTAGTGGACTTTCACCTTGGTGTATCTCTAATCCATCCATCCAGTCGTCCATCCCTCTCCATTTTCTTCTTCATGTTTGTTATCTAGGTAATAGATTACTGGCTGGTTCGTTATCACAGAAGTTCCCTATTATAAGCCTATCTTTTTGTGGTTGGCTATCTGGTCTTTCGTACCATCTTAAGGCAGATGCTGTTTAAGGTCTGCGTTAGCCTGATTTGGCATGAGTATCGAAGATCCGAATCCTGTTCCTTGTGTGGAGTGCAGTAAATTTCCACAATGACTTCAGAATACTGAAGGTCTGTCTTTCTCTTCCTACTGGGTTGGGTTATTCTGTTAATTAATAACTAAGAAGCTTAAGTGAATAATGCCCACATGACGGAGAGGTTTTAATAAATACATGGGTTTCCAAAAGAAACAGCACACACCCACATCTATGGTACTTATTGTGTTTGTTTCTATTTTATCGGAAGCCATGTGTCAGTGAGATGTTTAGCTGATGATGATGAAGACGATAGGGGATAGTAGAGAAAATCAATGGCAGGTAGCAAGACGTAATTATAAGAATAGAATTATAAGCACTATGGTGTATAGTCTAATTCCGTCATGGGATAATTCTTGGGTGATAAAACACTAACAAAGTGGTGGATATCGTATTACTTTATTGATTGATTGCGTTTCTGGCAAAATTAATTGTTCCTAATCATAACAAAATGCTCACTCAAACAACTCCAAAACTTTGTTTATATAGTGTCACCATTTCTCATCCTTTAGTTTTTATGATATGAATATTTTCCACATCTCTGGTATCAGTGTGGCATCATTCCTACTGCATGTGCTTTGGTATGTGGATAGGATGAAAAAAGAATCAGTAACCACAATATCTACTCCTCGCACCTATCTATATTTCTTTTTAGAACAATATCTCTGTTCTACCGTATTGTGTGGTTGTGTTTGTTGGTGCATTCATTCGATTTGCTAAGCGTACTCTCAATCAAGTCATGTCTCTCTGGGTTAGTCACTCTACATCGCAAATCCTCTACAAATCAAGTAAGACTTTTACGAGAAAGGAAACAAATCGAATTGTTTCTAAACCTCAGAAGCTAACGCAAAATATAGGCTAAATAGTGGACTCAGTTATTGAACTAACCAACACACCTAGTATAATTTGTCTTATTGTTGATACACTTTTACTCCTTATGATACTGGTCTTGAGTTGACTGTCTTTCCCTTCTGAGTTGAGCGCCTCATCTAGTGAATTCTGTCAATGAATTACTTTTAGGTTGTTTAATTTTACTTTAGTTTCTCTCTACCTGACTGGTGTCTCCTTATCTCTATCAACTTTGCTTAGAATCTCATTGACTGTTACCTGAAAAACTCGAAAGAATTTTAGTGTCAAATTTCTATATATATTCTTTTCATTGTTATGATAATGTGACTGCAATCTCTAGGTTGAGTGATGTAACTGCGAAGCTTTCACTGTTCTTTTAAACAACACCACTTCAGAGCAAACTTCACCATGGAGTATGAGCTTAATTGAAATCCTCATGAATGATACAACTGCATCGCCAGACAATCTTTGGCATGAATGGTTATGAATTCGCACCTGTATTTATCATTTCTTTTACTGACTTGGGATTTTTCTTTCTTGTCATATGGCTTATATATTATTAGTCAGTATCTTTGATCTATAGTGATGTATGTGTTAACCGCTGATTCGTCTGTGCATCAGGCTTCTGGAAATTCTCTGGAATTTGCTTAGTGTTTTCACAGTTTAAAATTCCTACATTTTCCCAGACAGGTTAGTTTCAGCAGTTATCTACACCGTATTGCCTCGAAGTTGAAGGGGATTCCCACTTTACCCAATACATTAGTGCTTATCACAGATTTATGAAATTTATTTTGTACATGGTGATCTTGTCTTCTTTCTCTGGGCGGGTCTCTTGGTGTACATAGTATTGAATGAAGCGATTATCTTTGGGAGTTTGTTTCTAGGGATTTGATTTGTTCTAAGATTGATCACGGATTGATATCATTGATATAACATTGAGAACGAGGGAGTACTGGAAAGCTGTTTCCTCCTAGTGCTTGGAACTCATTGGCAGTACTCGCCCACTGGGTTTCGAGCCCAAGTCACTCAGTCGGGTCCCAGTGGCTGAATGGCCTACAAACCTGTCTTGTAAAGGAAGGTCTTGATTAAGAAACCCGGTGGGTAGGTACTGTCGATGAGTACCAAGCACTAGGATAAAACAGCTGTCTAGTATTCCCTGGTTTTCAATGCTTCTCTAACTGATATCAATCCGTGATCAAAGTTGTAGTGATTGTGCTGGTTTGTGTACGCAAGATATCTATTCCAAGTGGTTACTTTAGGAACATACTTTACACATGGCAGGATGAATAGTCTTGTGGTTTCTTACTGGGAGTTTGATTTGAGTTTAGACCTTTTTATTGAAATTGTAAGGGTATGCACTTTTCTTGAAGATAGTGGTTCTCTTACTGATATCAGCTCATGATGAAATCCTCCAATCAATCAAGCAAAATCCATACAAAAAACCAGTACTTGATAATAAATATACATCTTCTATTCTCCTCAGAACTGGAGGGCTGTAGAAGTTTTGTAGTTCTATTGAATAATGCTTATTATACACAGTTTATTTTGTGTGTTGTTGAATTACTGATGGGAACGTCTCTACTCACTGGGAAAGCAGATAGGCAAATTGCTGATGGGTCCCAAATTGGGTGAAACACTTACACACGTCCTGAAATCAACTAAAAAAACTACATAGTCTATAATATTTTTTAAAGATAACATTATACTTCCAAATCAGATATTTAAATATTTCGGTAGTGTTTCTGAAAAGTATGTATTATTTTTTACGCAGATGAACAACCTACATGAAAAATTAACAAACATAACTGATAACGCGAATGCATGTATGAGCACAAAGTCATCAGTGACGCATACTTATGAAAATCAGATGAATTTAAACAAATTCAGTGGTTCAATGGAACAACAACAACAACAAGGGCGTGATTCTTTACTATCTATTCAACAAAAGCAACAACAATTGCAACAGAATGATGATAATATAAATTTTCCCTTGGAAAATCAATCCACTTCATCTATCACTTCAATTGATACAACAAACCAATTGAATTCATCGTTTTCATCACCTTCGTTATTGACAACTTTAACGAAGAATGATGTTCAGTTAAGTTTAAATCATCAAAATCGTTTACATTCTGAGAACATGTCATTATCTATGGAGGGAAATTTAAATTGTGAAAATCAATATTCTGTCAACGGAATACACAGAGCTGATAAGCCACCATTTGAATTAACCCCTGTCATTGAAGAAAAGCCAACAGATTTCAACATTCAATACAATGATTGTGTGTCATTGACTGACAGATGTAATGATAATGATAATAATAACCCCGTGAAGCAAACTTCTCAAAACAACAGTTCAGAGGAAACGTGTATAACCTTAGTACAGAATGATGAGAGCTTACTTTCTGACCAGTTGTATGTAGTTGATCGGATTAAACAAAAGACAGCAGGTTTGAACGATGGGAAATATCAACAGGTATGTAGATCACCTTTCTTCATTGGTTAGTTCATAGCGTTTAGTTTGAATTTCGGTGGATGTGTAAACGATAGATATCCGGTATTGTGGACAACAGAGTTGATGTCACAGTTAAATCAGACTTCTGTGCGTATCTCCGTGTGTTTTGTGTATGTGGGTGTGCGTGTGTGGAGGGCGGTTGGGGAATATTTTCCAATGAAGTGATCAGTTGTGTGAAGGTGCATTTGGAGTCAGGGATAGACAACAACCAACAAATCACTAACAAACACTCCGTTACAAATATTTGACCGTATTCCATCTTACTCAATACATGAGTGTTGAGTAGATTATTATACATTTAATGGCCTACTACGAATCTATCCTTCTTTGGCATTATTTCACCAAATAATTTCATACATGGGAGTGTTCATGTGTATTTTTATGAATAAGAAATAGGGAAGGATGGAAGGAATAAAGGAAGCAGCAATCAATGGTAATTAATAATAATGATAATAATAATATCTGCTCAGTTAGATTAAGCCATAATAGAAACATAAATCTTTTTTCCAAAAAATCTGAAGAATAGTGTCTCTGTAGAATACACGCCCTCTTCTTATTTGATTTCCTCCTATTTTTATTTGCAAAACTGCCAGACAAAATAAAAAATAAGCAGGCTCCCAGTATAATTGCATGCAGAGGAGGACAGATGGGGAGAAGAAGAAAAGTTAATTAAAGAATTCATTGTTTCATTCACTTATTCATTAATTATGTAGGCGGAAGCAAGGACACAAAGACTAAATGAAATAGTCAGTCAGGTATTCAATTATTTAGTTAGTTTAACTGAGTATATATATATATGTATATATGTATTAAATATTTATTATTATTATCCCCTTGGGTTCCGAGTGAAAAATAGAGACTTGTCAGTAAATCTCCATATCATCCAATTCTATGCAGCCGTCTTTATCTGAACCCAGGATTTCCCATAAGCTGTCATCTCCTCCTAACATGATCTTGTCCATGTCACCGTGTAAACGAAGCCTAGCTTGTCATCCCCAATGTGAGTTCCACCCGAGGATCCACTTGGCGCTTGGCATCATTCAGCAGCCTCCTAAGCTTATGTCTAGTCCATTTACATTTTCTCCAACGTATTTGTTAGGCGATAAATTCTTGGTTAGTTTCTTGTCGCTTATACTTTGTGTCTGATCATCCGATTTTCAGTATCTTAGGCAGCGAGACTGGTAACTGTTGATGGAAGTCCAAAGTAACCTCTTGGAAATTTTTTTTTCACCAATGTACCAGGTCTATGAACCATATAAAAGCATTCACTGGCTTGACACTAATATTGACAATCCGAATCTTTTTCCTAATGCTGAGTACTCTAGACTTCAAAGCTCTGAAGGTCTGTCTTGATTTCCTGATGTTGACGAGCTTTGCCACCTATAGTTGAAACGATGCTGACTAGATAAATGAAAGTTATGACTCCATTGGTGGTGATTGGTGTTTGTTGTTGTTGGTCAAGTATTTTCATCATCTCTGTCTTCTCTAAGTTCATCTAAAGTCCTGCCTTCTCTGGTGGTTCTCCTGCTGGTATATATATATATATATATATATATATTAGTATTGCCTTAAAAGATTGAGTTTAATAAACAAAGAATACTCCTTTTGATAACTTCATCGGTTTCTATAGTTCTATGTCCACAATAATTAAAGAACTAGTATTATTCACAGAACTAATTTTGTAAATAGCATCGGATCACTAAAAGCAATAGATTACAGTTCAAAAGTATCTCTAAGTGATAAAACAGATAATTACAATACTAAGTTGAACATTAGATTAGATAAATTAGCAAAAATACTAGAAAATTTATGAATTTTCAGATTTCACAGGAGGCCGTTATAGCAAAAATGGTTGAACTTGTTTCTTTTGCATACACACAGAGCTCTGGTCGTTTTTTTTTAGAGAATCGCAACAGCCCCTGGCTTATGGATTATTCCATACCAAGAGGCTTTCAGCAGTTTATTCGCTACTTGACAGATGATAGGCCTGTTTGCATCAGGTGGTCTGATATCAAACCAGAAGATCCTGGGTTCGAACCCTGGTGGGTGCCTACTTCCGAAGAGTCCCAAACTAGGATGAAACAGCGGTCCAGTACTCCCAGGTTTTCCAATGGTTCTCTAACTGATGTCAGCTCATGATGAAATCCTCCATCCAATCAAACAAAATCCCTACAAAACCAATACTTGAAAATAATGTCAAACTGTTGGTAGTTTTTCATAACCACACTGGTAGGTGTTCCAGAGCGGGAAAGACTAAGTTCTAATGCAATGGCCAATATAACTGGCTCTACAGGAGCAATGGAACTGACGGATACAAGAAGAGGTCAAGGAATTACAACCAGCTTAACGACATTAAAATTTCTTCGAATCTATTTCTTCTAACCCGTTGGTTATTACTTCACTCGCCAGATCACCTTTGAATTGCAGACGCATACATAGAGGATTCTTGTTTACAGACACAGATCATTTTTTGATTTTTTTTTGACCATGTTTTCCATTTTGAACTGTAATCGACCGATATTATTAATTCGATATTATTCAAAAGGACATTAATGTTATTAAATATAATAATCCATTCCAAAGATGTGGTGGAGAGATGTGGATATGACACTTTCACAGTGTTAAGAACAGAATATATTTCTAGTTTATTCATTCACACTTACACACATAAACTCAATAGTAGAGGGAATAAAATTCACATTTGAATCGGAAAACGAACAAGGAGAATTAGCCATGATGTTAGACTGTAAAATACAACGAACAGAAATTAGACTGCACACTAGCGTTTATAGAAAGCCAACGCATTCTAATAGATAATTAGACTTTATTTCATCTCATCCATTGTCTGTAAAGGCAGGCTTAGTTAAGTGTCTAACAAACCGAGTCATAGCACTAAGTAGTACAGCAAAAAACCTAAAAGATGAAATGAAACAGATAGAAGAAGCGTTGGTGTTAACTAATTAACTATCCCATAAAATTCATTAGGAAGATCAAAAGATGTCAAAAGCAAAATAAAAATAATGGGGAAACTAATAATGATAACATAAATAAGAAAGAATATAAGGCATCTACAGTTTTACCATTTAAAGAGGGAGGGGACATCTGAGACCCTACGTAGGATTCTAAACAAAGTAGGAATTAGGGTGGCACTTAAACCTACAAACCTACTCACGGGCAAGCTCTGTTGGTTAAAGGACCCAGTTGACCCAATTAGACAAAATGATTTTATTTATAAAATACCTTGCACTGACTGTGAGCTAAGTCAACCACATAGGTCAAACCAGTGGATAGGAGGCAGTTAGATTATCAGAAAACGAGGATTTAGCTGAGCGTAGCATGACTGACTCCGCAATTGTACTGCATGCATTAACACACAACCACACAATAAGGTACGTGGGATAGAGTCCAAACTCTAAACAGTAATATAGATCGATGGAGATAGAGGGAGGTTAATTACTGAATCCTTGTTCATCGAATCTACTACACCCAACACCTGCAATAGGAATGACTCATCAAGAATATCAGAGATATGGAAGATATTACTACCAGTCATATCATATGATAAGAAATAATGTTGAATTTTGTTTTTGTTTCATTTCACATTATAACACTTTAACAAGCTCTTTATTTCATTTTCCCCCATAACAACACTCATCTTAATTCCCATCGTATTATACTTTATTGACAACACTAATATTATTTCCGAATATATTTTATCTTCTTTTCTGTTTCACGCATGTTCAAGTTTATTAAACTTTATATTGACATTGGTTTATTCATTTATATGTCTAATCGATTTTTACTCATGTATATAAACGAAGTGAGAAAGCTGTGTGAGCAGTGCCTTAATATATGATTACGAGTAGGAATAAATTGTGCTCGAAATGTGGTCGTACCAGTAAATATTACTGTATAACAACACAGCGAGACTTCATCAAAACTAAATTTTCTCCATAATGAAATAATCCAGTTAATTATTATTGTGAACAAATCACTGAAAGATCAGATGAAGAGGAAGTTGTCTAAAAGGAATATTCTTTCATCACTAATCTCTCGGTATTTTGAAATTTCAAATGGACAACTTTAATCAATTGCTACTACTATTTATTATTATTATTATTGCTTTTTTTTCATGATTGTACAAACAGTTTCGAATCTTCTGAACATATTAATCAAAAGTGTAGTATTTTTTTATATCTTGAAGTGGGAGGAACATCAGCCAGCCTTTCTTTTCTATGCTCATAAATCTTTCCTTTCAAGCCTTACTGACTGAAAGATGAACTAATTAATTGCTGCAATCAATCAAATATATAGAAGTAAGTTAAGGTGTGAAGTGTCACTGACAATGGTAGGCTTGCTTTATACAGGAGTGAAATGAATGGCTAAGTTTCATGCTCAGTCTTCCCTCTTTTCCGGGCTTAGTTACGATTGGCTACCAAAACTAATCACCAGTCAGTGGGTGGGAGAGGAGGATGGGAAAGAATCTAAATGTAGGTTATCACATTGATTTGCATACCTTAGTAGCATTCTTTCAACTACAGAGTGAGGTATAGATGGGGTTGTCGAAATCGACCCAGGATCGACGGAGCAAGATAAGTGCTTGTGTGAAGAAGCACAAAAAACAAATCCAAATTATTATTTTAACACTACTGTCAAGTTAATGAGTGCTTCCACACTGGTTCACAGAATCGAGCCAGCATCACCAAAAGCATTTCAAAATGGCTACTGTAGACTAATATCAAGAATTACCCTCTTGACTCCCTGGATAGTCTGGAAATCAGATGACAGAGCAAAAATAATAACCAACGGGGAGTTGGTGTGTTAGCGAACTAATCAACAACCTATTGCCCAACCAAAAAAGTATCCATAGGTGAATGACATTCAAGTGAGATCACATGCCAGACAAGCTCCATTGAGTCAAACCTGAGTGTAAAGCGATGAAGCGGATGTCAGTCTGAGGCTGACATATTCAGAAGATCATTTGAGGCGGAAGTGAAGTTTTATTGGCAGCTAAGGAACCATTTCATCCCATTTGGGGCTCTTCATCTGGATATACCTGCATTCCTCAGTGATTGATGATGTTCCTCCCGAGGCTGGAACTCTATGCTCACAGTTTCAAACGCCAAAGCGTTATCCACTGCTAGTCACCATCCACC